CACCGCCCCTATACAATTTGGGAAGTTGCAACGTACTTCAAAGTCTCGAGCAATACTTCTCCATTCTGCTTCTGTTGTAGGAAACTGAAAATATAAATATATACCTATTAATACAAACTTTCTTTTTTATTACAGAAAGAAAATTATTCTAGAAATACTGAGATTTATAAAGATGATTCAGAAAATTATCCCCATTCGCCTGAAACTCCTGCTGCAGTTCTTAAATCTTCATCATTGCAAAGCCATTCGCTTACTCCTGTAATATTCCGAGAAAATAGACTCATAAATCACCATGTCATTTACTGTAAAAATTAAATAAATAATCAAACAATCAAAAACTTAATTCTGCCATTTTAAAAGTGTAACGATAAATTAAAGATGGAACAAACTAACGCTACGTAATTCGACCCCCCTCGCTTGGTCGTCTTCTAAATTAAATTCTTAAAATTAATAAAAACGATTACAAGGTGATGACATCACTAATAATCCGATCAATGAACTTTTTTTTAGCCAAGGCCTTTCCGCTTAACAAAAATTGAGTCGAATGAATTATGGCATTCTTGAACCCAAACGTGTTGACCTCAATAAATCAGATTATTGCGACATAAATTAATTGATTTTAGACTAAAAATAAAATAAAATTCAAGGAAGTTGCATCATTCTTTTTAATCATAATGAGGTCGTCCAATGAAATTCGGATTGCTAAGCTAACGACCGCCTATATTGACGATTTGGGGGAAGCGGAATATAGTGGCAGTTATCTGTAGAACAGTCTAGTCCAGTTTGAAGTAAAGTCTGCCCAGTTTCGCGAAAAGTTACCTTTAAGGCGTTTTGCCTCGGGTATGTTTTAACTTAGAAAATTTACGAAAAATCGAGAAAGTAATAACTTTGGAAACTCGTTCAATAAATTATGTGCGTGCTAGCTAAATATTTTGAGTAGTTAATTAAATAATTTTACGTGTGTTTTATGGACAAAATGTAAGTACTTTTTAGTGACAAGATTTATTTTGATGAACATGACTTTGTGTGAATTTTACTAGAAAACTTTTGATTTTAATCACGGTGGAACTTTATTAAAATAAACTTAATAACTTGAGTATTTTATAAAAGAAACATTGTCGCATAACTTAATTACCTTCAGATATTATGACATTTAATAGTGAAAAGAACTTAAGAAGGAACGTTATAATGCATCTAACTGAACATAAACATTTTTGAGTTGAGTACAAGTTTGAACTGGTTCGTCCTCTTTGAAAATTAAGGGATATAAAATCGAACTCATAAGAATTTAAATAACTTTGTGTATTAGCCAGGGATGGCGAGAAATTGTAATTGTTTAATTAAATAGAATAGGAAATCTTGAAAAATAGAATTGCCTTAATATAGTGGAAAGCTGTCAAAGAAATTTTAGGATAGTAATTGGGTCCTTTGAAAAGGAAATGGGATGTGTAGAAAAGAAACTTGTGTTTGAAACTAGATTGTTGACGATTATCATTCAATATATTGGAGAGATTAGTTTAAGGACTGTGGTCATTCAGGAGATAAAACTTCTAACGATTATCCTTAGACGTATTGAGAAGTTGTATGTGAAATTTGTTATTCATCAAGAGACACTGATGATTTCAAAGGCAGAACTATTAAATTAGGAAATTTATTTTTCAAGTTATAGTAAGGTTTTATGAGAATAAATTAGTTGATAAACAAATATAGGTAATTAATTTGGGTTTTCATAAGTAATGGACTTAAGAGATTTTTAAGGAATTAATTGACTAGGTAAAGGATAGTTATTAGGAATGATTCGGATGTAGTAAAATAAATTGAATTATAATTTTGAGAAATAGTATGAATAGGGCGTTTCTTATTTAGTAGGGATATTTCAGTGGTCCGTAAAATAACAATATAGAACGGATGTGAAGTATTGACTTTATAGAACTAAAGAAGGATGTAAAGTATTGGAAGATATTTGGCTGATTGATTTTTGGGTTTTATGTGAAATAAAATATAATTTAGTATACCTCATTAGTTTGTTTCTCTCTCTTGCAAATAGACCCTCTTCCACAGTGTACAGGGTGTCCACATTTATAGGCTCAAATTTCAATAAGTACTATTAGGGATTTTTTTAGAAAAAATCTGATAGCAGATTCTTGCTTAGAATGGTCCAAAACCCAAGTGTACTAATTTTTGTTTCAATATGATACAGGGTGATCACAACAAATTTTCAAAATTTAATGGACCAAACCGAAAAAATGTTATATTTTGACGCCATGAGAAAAACAAAACTTGTTACAACATAGTTTTAGAACATCCTCAGCCAAAATTTGTAGTAAGCTTGTTTCAAAATATAACATTTTTGCGGCTTGATTCATTAAATTGTGAAAATTTGTTGTCATCTCCCTGTATCGTATTGAAACAAAAACTAGTACATTTAGGTTTTAGACCATTCTAAATAAGAATCTGCTATCAGATTTTTTCTAAAAAAATCCCTAATAGTCTTTATTGAGGTCCTTATTGAAATTTGAGCCTATAAATGTGGACACCCTGTACACCAGTACAGCCGTAGAAATAAAATTATGAGCCTAATAAGTGCCAAATTCGAGTAGATATAGGACAAAAAAAACATGAATTGAATCGGTCAAAAAATAAAAATTTTAGAAGGGTGGTCAGTCCTTAAGCGGGACACACTGTAGATAGTGAGATTTTTTTTATGAATACCTATTTTATTTTGAGTTATTGTTCCTTATTTATAGAAATTATGTGTTATGTTCCGTTGTTTTGTAAAAACTTAATTATATGTACTAAATAAAAAAAATAAACCACTTGCCTTCATGTATTTTTTGTGCAGCACTTGGTAGATAGCTTGACATGTTTCAGGAATTATTTGACTTAGGGCTTGTGGAGATATTATAGTAGTAAATTTTAGGTCTTGGTAATTTTTTCCAGTGGCTAAATACCTTAGCGTTGCACTTAGTCGTTCGTGTGCAGTTATTGCAGGTCTCATCATTGTATCTTGGCGTTCAATTAATGGAGTAACCATGTTCAAGAGTTTTACATATGTTTCTTCATCCATCCTTAGGTAATTGCGCCAGTCATCTGATTGCAATCTCAATTCTTCTAAAAGATTAATATGGGAAAATGTTTGTCGTTTCAGGTGCCAATTTTTGGACCAGAATCGACGCTTTTTCTTTTCTTTTTTTTTCAGTACATAGGCGCACGCCACTGCCACTGCACCCAAAAAATATTCCTCCTCCGACATCTTCGAACACCGTAGCAAGAATGACAGTTTTGTGCGAACGTGTGTACAAAGGCGACATGCACGTTGTTGTTTGCACGTTGATGTATGCACGTTTATGTATCAAGCCATCCACGTCCGTGTGTAACCGCCTTTAAGCTGAATTCTCCTAATTGATAGTACTGATTTAGTAAATAAAATATGTATGCAGGGTTGGACGAACTTTTGGAAGTGGGCCGGGAAATTTCAGTCTCGCGGCCCATACATTGATCGATTCATGCGGCACATCATCACCCCCCTAGATGTGATCTAATAATATTTAAGTTTATTCTCAACAACGTATCTAAATTTTCCATTGTAAGTCGATTCCTTGATCGATTTTTTATCTATTTAAGTGCTGAAAATACAAAAACCATTTTTCGAATCCTACTTGTGTGCACGCTAAAGTGAGGACATAGGTACTGGTAGGCCTTAAAGATGACTCTTAAACACGGATGTGAAATCGGTATTTACTTATAGAAAACCAAACCACAGATCACCTAAATACAGATGCGTAAGTAAGTATCCTTGCCGTCGACAATTCAAAGCTACGGAAGCAGGGCAGCCGGCTCCCTTGCCGCATGTCACAGATCGTCAGCGGCGGATCATTTATAGTGCGTGTTCCAGCCTGTTGTGTTTACATTGAACCACGAATTTACCGCTCTTTCGGATTTGTATGTAGGGTAGGTGATCTGTGAACAAACATTGTTTGCAGCGTAAATGTGAAGAACATTTAGGATATTCTGATTCATTCCCTGTATCATCTTCATCTTCATCGTTAAATTTAGGAAGGTCATACAGCTCCGTCCTTTTCAAGTCACCTATAGTTGAACCAAATCCAAGCGGCAGTAATGACAAAGAATAACCTGAATTGTAAACAAACACCAACTGGTAATCCAGCCTTCCTATTGATTGAAACTCCCTACCAGGACCAGTGCGCATGCACGGAGGACATTTGATAGGTTGTAATGAAAATGACCAGTTATGTTATAACTGCCGCTTGGATTTGGTTTAACTATAGGTACCTGATTTTATTCAAAGCAGCGTCTGGCATTAGTTCGGAAAAATAATTTGAATCCAAAATCAAAAGTTGAATTGACCATTCTTTGTGCTTTCGGTCTGTTCTCACAGAAATCACAAACCAGTCAGACTCAGAGCCAATTTCATTCGTTGAAAATAGTTGGAAAACTCCTTGTTGACGCTTTGCACCAATCAAAAACACTGTGACTGGTTTGTGATTTCTGTGAGATCAAACTTTATTGAAGCCATCTGTTTGAAGGTATCTTGATAAAGGTTCTGTGGTTTCAAAGATCGGCCAACTCTCCGATCAGCCCATCGGGGATTTCCCGATACCCCGGTGGGTTCATCCAACCCTGTATGTATGAAAACTATTATACAGTTGTTTCTCTCATTTGCAAATACAAATAGACCACTTAATTTTGTAGCAACCCGAGGAAATAGTTACCATCAAATAGAACCGCTCGCCATTTACTTTCTAACTAATTAATAGAGTAGGTACTTGGGTGGATCGCTATACCTATTTAGAAAATCTTCATCTCAAATCCGCCTTCAAAATATCATAATATGCCAGGAGACTAATAGTTAAACTTTTCCTAGTGAAACCATACTTAGGTACTTTTTATCAGTTCTGGCAAAAAAACTGTGAGAGGTTTTATCCGATAAAGCTCTGAAGCTGTTTTAAAAGTGAAGCAAACATTGTAAATATTTTATTCTTTTCTCAACATTTGCTTGTCAAAGATTAACTTGTTGTACGGTGAGGATTAAAAATACAAATTATTTTACTGACTTACAATATAATCACAGAAATTAATATATAATTAAAATCAAAATATAGACACTATCATCTGAGCTTTGAAAAGTTCAGTAAAGGCAACTGAAACTATTCAATTTTATCTGGTAGTAGTATCACACGTGACATGACAAATTAGGACTCAATTATATACAATTAATAAATAACATCAACTTGTAGTGTAGGATATGCAGCCACCCCTTCTATCATCGACGGCCCCTTGGATTGTTTCACTTTTAGCGGTGATTGAAGTAACTGCTGAAAACCCGTCAGTGGTGGTAACGCCTGTTGAATTGTGCCCAATATCTGTTAGGTTTTTCACAAGTTCAGGATACTGAAAATAAAATTGAAATTCTTGTAATTACTGTTTATTTAGAATAATCAAACTTATGTACAGGGTGGCCCAAATTCGAGCCTCATCATTGGGATCTCGGTAACCGTAAGAGATACGGGGTCGGTTAATCGTTTTTATTTTTTCCTGGGCTTGTTTGAATAGCAATTTCAAAATAAATGTCACTTCATCATTGTCACTTTTTCGCCTTTAGAAGATGGTGCTACTAAATTTAAAATTTGACGTTTCGTCTTCAGGCGGCCATCCTCAACTTTCTTTTTTTGAATACGGACCTGGATCTTTTATTTGCGATTTTGTCATCTTTGGGAATCCTAAAATCGATACTATTTATAATTTTTCAATAACATAGTAAAAAAAGCAGGTCCGTATTCAAAAAAAAATGTTGGTGATTCCAGAGGAACGAAACGTTGAATTTCAAACTTAATATCGCCATCTTGTAGAAAAGAAAGTGACAATGAAAAGGTAAAATTAGTTTTTCACAATCTTTTTAAATAAAATCAGGAAAAATATACGAAAAAAACATAAATTTCTGGTTTTTCTTAAATTTTTTCCTGATTCCATTTAAAAATATTTTGAAAAACTAATTTCACATTCTCATTGTAACTTTTTCTTCTCTACAAGATGGCGGTATCAAATTTGAAATCCGACGTTTTGTTCCTCTGGAATCATCATCAATTTATTTTTTTTCAATTACGGACCTGCTTTTTTTACCGTATTATTGAAAAATTATAAACTATCGGTTTTAGGATGCCCAAAGATGACAAAATCGCAAACAAAAAATCTAGGTCCGTATTTAAAAAACGTAAGTTGAGGATGGCCGCCTGAAGATGAAACGTCGAATTTTAAATTTAGTTACACCATCTTCTAAAGGGGAAAAAGTGACAATGATGAAGTGACATTTATTTTAAAATTGCTCTTCAAATAAGCCCAGGAAAAAATAGAAACGATATTACAAAATTTCGGTTTTTTTCGAATATCTCCGGAAGTATCCGGAATCTTTCTAGTTTCAAAACGGCATTCTATTGGTCATAAAATTGCGCAACTTTGCCGTAATTTAACCGATCACGTATTTCTTACGGTTACCGAGATCCCAAAGATGAGGCTCGAATTTGGGCCACCCTGTATAGGAAGTGAGAACTTATCAACAATCAAACATAATACTTACCACTGTAGCGAAATGTTCTTCATACTCAATCGCCATAGGAAACAGTTGATGATGCAACCTTTGTTCGTCAATGGCTTCTTTTAGGTTAACATCATACCAAATATGTTTTAAGATTATCTGAAAAAAAAAAAATAATAGAACATTAGGTCAATGTAAATTCTTGGGCTTGAAGAAAGCACAAGACCGCTGATCTACATTGGAACCCAATACAGAATTTTCCAAGAGAAAAAATTTATTTAAGATATTCATATCGATCTTGCTTCCAGGGATTGATCGTTGTGTTGTGAGATGGGATATTCCTTAAAAAAGACACACATTTCTTAGGTATATTGTTGCAGTTGTAGAATGTTACGGAGAGAATGTTTGATAAAACTTTCAAGAAATCATAAAATTTATTTATTAGAGTTTCTATAATATCTATGAGTTACCTACTCACCGAGGCAACTACACTCGTAATTTTAGTTCCACCAGCAGCACCTATGACCAAGACAACATCTCTACCCTTAACCACAATAGACGGTGCCATGGAAGACAGTGGTCTTTTACCGGGTTCAATATAGTTAGCACGAGATGGTGGAATGTTAAAATAATTGCTGGTGCTATTTGGTGATGAGAAATCGTCCATTTCGTCGTTCAGAATGATTCCGGTGGATGGTGATACAAATCTTGCTCCGAATCTGAAAGAAATATAAAATTGTCAAAAAATGTATACAGAATGATGTTGGCGCAGGTATTGTTATGACATTTCGATAATAACGACTGTAAGTTCAAACAGCTCGAGAACTACTAGCTCAAGGCAAATAGCCAACATTTCCAGGGTGTACTTACACTAAATTAATAGTACTGGTAACAGATATGGCATCTCCATTAGGAGCAAGTACTGAAACATGTGCAGTACCGTGGTCTTCAGGTCCAACAGTTTCAGCACCGTAATATGAAGCATTCTGACTAGTACTTGTATCAAAAATTAAACTTCGTATTTCTTCAGCAAATGATTTGGAGGTCATATTGTTGACAATCTACAAAAATATTGTATATGTATTTCATTTTTTCAAACACCCTTTCCCTTACAGCAGCAATTGTTCCATTCATATCATCTCCCAATCTCGTTCTTTGTCCATAAGCGTGCTTGAAACTTTCAACAATCCTCTGGTAAGTTCCCACATGATATAAATTAGTTAAGTCAACGAAACCGTCTAAAATATTGAGTATGAAAGCTAAAACTGCCCCGGAGCCTGGTAAAGGAGTTGTATACAGAGTATGGCCATCAGTAAAGTTAACTGTAATGGGATCTTCCCATTTTGGTCTAAAATAAGAATAAATGTTGCATTGGAATTCGAATATATAATTAATTACATGATTGCTTACTCATAAGCTACCATATCGTCAACACTTATAATTCCATTATTATCTTGAATGTCCTGCACAAAACTCTTAATAAGAAAACCGTTTGCGCTGTACAAAGCGTCAGCTCCTTCTTTAGCAATTATTTCCAGTGATTTTGCTAAACGTTTCCTTCTAACATACTGCCCTTCCAAATAAGGATTGTTTGTTGTTGGATCGATAAAAATTTCCCTTAAAACCGGATCGGCTCTTAACACGACCACTTTATTCAAAAATACTTTCGCTAGAAACTTGGTTACATAAATGCCATTGTTACAAAGATCGATCGTCGGTTGTACCAAATCTTTCCATGGTAAGTAACCGAACTTTTGATAAAGTGCCCAATAGCCTTTTAGTTCGCCTGGTACTGCTACTGCCCTACCACCTAAGAAAATACAAAATTGATAATTAAGTAATAGTAAAGTAAGTATCTATGTACGAACTCGCAAAGAGAGGATGAGAGACAAAACTTATCGGGCCTTAGGGATACCAAAAATTATGACCAGCTTATCAGTGCCATCTCTAGGCATGGGCCAGCTGGGCCCTGGCCCAGGGCCCCCTGTCATAGGGGGCCCCGTCGTTAATTTTTATAAAAAAGTATTCAAATAATAAATGATAATATCAATAATAATTTTTTTTTTTTTTTTTTTTTTTTTTTTTTTTTTTTCTGCTTTCTTGTCAGAAACCACCACTGTGGTTTGTCGACAAAGCCTCGAACATCACACACAAACCAAATCAAACAAACAAACATCCATGCACCTAGCCGGGATTCGAACCCGAGACCCACTGCATGCATAAAATGTTTAAAGTTTTGTTTTGGAAACGTCTTTTTAAGATATGACTTGTGACTTGTTTCTTGTAGCACGATTTAGGTACCTATTAAATATTATTATTTAGTTAGACAAAGGTTACTTACTTGTTTGTATATGTACCTAAAAATATGTATTTCATTTTGTTATTTTTGATATGTACAGGGTATCCACTTAGTGCGATATCGGACGATATCTCCGTACAGGGTGATGCAAGAAAAAAAAAATTACAAAGTTGTTTGATACTCTAATATGCATTAGTTAAAAATATTTTTGAATATATAGGGTGCTCCGTTTATGGGATATGCAACAGAACTTTGTTATTTTAAATGGAACACCCTGTATGTGATTGCATATTTGGATTCTACGTGAAATTCTGACCAGATTTCATGTAATATACCCTATATAGGTACCTAGGTTCAACTGTTTTGGAAATATTAACAGTTAAAAATTGACTTTTTGCAACTTTGACAAGCTGTAAAACCTAAACGGTGAATTTAAGACGAAAACCGATTTTACATTCCTGTCTTAGATTTTCATAAACTATATCATCTAACACCAACTTTGAATTTAATCCATAATTGAAAATTTGAGTTAAATTTAATCTCTGGGATATTTTTAACTAATGCATATTAGAGTATCAAACAACTTTATAATTTAATTTTTTTTTCTTGCATCACCCTGTAAAGAAATATCGTCCGATATCGCACTAAGTGGACACCCTGTATAAATAAATTCTGGTCCGAATAATAATTGTTGCCTTTTTTGACATTTTCAAAAATGGGGATAGGGGCCCCCAAATTCAAAAGTGCCTAGGGCCCCGAGATGGCTAGAGACGGCCCTGCAGCTTATGAGAGCATAATGTAGGTACTTGTCTTCAAACTTACAACTTAATGAATATAAACATCAAAAATTATGTATATCTCTACCGTATTGCGATAACGTTGCATTATCACCAAACATATCCTGGGTAGCACCAGATGGGGCTGTCTCTCTAGCATTTAGAGTGGTCACGGTTCCAGTTTCTCGTTCATATATGGTCATTAGAAACCCGCCTCCAAGACCCATACTTTGGGGCATCGACACTCCTTCGCAAAATAATGTGGCTATTGCTGCGTCAGCTGCCGATCCACCTTTATCGAAAATAGACCTAGAAAATAAGATGATGTCAGTAAATTTATGTTTTTTGAAAAAAAAAAAAAATAACATTAGTTAAGCCAAACACTGCTCCAATTTTGGACAAGATGTGATAGAGTATGCACAGTACGCGAATGAAAACACACTTTTCCTTCGAAAGTGATATTGAATCAGACTTGGATTAACGGTAAAACCACCTAAACTAAAAATAAGTGTTTTGGAACTCAATTTATTTTGAAAATTGCTATAAAATGACCTTTCTAGAAGAACATTTACGTGTCACGTCGTTTCCTTTTATAAAAAGCTTTCATAAATTTGTTTTTGGATTCGAGGGTGACAGAAGGAACGGTTACGCGAGTTCACCGGATTTGAGTTTGAAGTTGATTCGAAAGAATATGATACAAAACCAAACTTTATTGGCAAAACTTTTTCGGAAACCGAATTGGTATCGATCGCTTATATTTCAGTGATAAACTATGAAAAATATCAATAAAGACACATTGGTGAAGAAAATTTCTTGCGCTTTAATGGACATTGAATCTTTAAAGTGTGCTATCTATAACTAGGGAAACAATTAGGAAAATTATGAAGATGCAAGCCACGATTTGGGGTTAAGCAAAAACACTAGTCCGAATAACAAAGAATCTGCTACTAACATGGACAGCGTAAATTTTTTTTAAATAACACCATGTCATCAAATATGGAACCGTAAGTGGGTACAAAAATGTGCTATAGGATTTTCACGCTATATTTAGGATGACGTCACATTTAGTAAATTTCTGCTGCAAATCTAACAAAACTAAAAGTACTTCTTAACGCATTTAAAGTAGGGGAATTTCAGATGTTTCTGGTTCGCAACGGCGCGCGATGTTGCATGATTTAAATGAAAATTTTCAAATAAATAACGCGTGTCGATACATTTCGTTATTTTTAGCTGTCAGTGGTCTTGATAATTCATTATGACATTCTGGTAAATTATAAGAAAACAAATACGCATTGACAACATTGTCAGTCCTTGTTCTCTGACGTCATCCTAAATATAACGTAAAAAACCTATATAGTGGAATTAATTGAACAGTGTATGCACGTGATCAAAATTAATGACATAAGCACGTCGCAATGTTGCCGCTATTAACTTTCGTTTTACTTTGACATACCATGTCTAGTAAAATTTGTTATCACTAATGGCCGATTCCACCAACGCAAATTTGAGTTCACTTAACGTTAAGTGCCGCTTATATGAATAATTTCTTTTACCTACGAGCGTGCGGTAAAGTTCACTTTACCGAACTTATTTGCAAATGGAAAGTAGCACTTTACCGCACACTATGCGGTAAAGTTACTGTGCGGTAAAGTGGACTGCAAAGTGTGCGGTAAAGTTAACTTTACCGCATACTATGCGGTAATAGTTATTTACATTACAAGTGCGTTTATGAACATGATTACAATAACGAGTGTGAAAGGTTAAAACGACGAGGTCGTAGACCGAGTCGTTCTAATCACACGAGTTTTGTAGTCATGTTTAAACGCACGCGTGATGTACAACGTTTTTTCTATAAAGCGAAAAATAGGAATGTTTTTTTAATTATTTTCGTTTATTAGTAGTTGTCTACCTTCATTTTACCTTTACAGGTTTACCTTTGACATTTGTCAAATCACCAAAAATCGTTGTGTTATACATTCATAACCTTGTCCATAACACCACTAGTTGTGTTATGAATTCATAACCTAGTCTATAACACCACTAGTTGTGTTATGAGTCTCATAACACAACTCAAATACTAGAAAAATAGTTATGTAAAAACGTCATAACCAAACGCTTGTAGATAATAGTATATTATGCAATGATCATGTAATGATAGCCATTAATACACGAGCATGTGTATTAATGGTCATTACGTGAGAGTTGCATACACTATTTTTTCTACTGCCATTGATAAAACTTATGATATTTAGATATGTCAACATTATGCTTAACTTTGAATAGAGATTTTATAATTGAGTAATCCATACAGTTGAAGGTTTCATTTTTTGTTGTAATTCTTCAAAATATACTATCAAAACATTTTCTGAGAAGGACGATGTGTTTTTGGTGTTTCCAAACCATAAATTGTCCATATAATTTTTCGCAAATTTTCTTGGACTTGTCCGGTAGTATATTATTACCTGCATTTGTCGCCTTTTCTGTAATTTCTGGAGGTGTTAGTGAAAATTCTTCGTTATCACTCAATATTTCCATAATAATGCCTTATCCCAAACATTAGGTAACTTTTAATAACAATTCGAAGTATTTTTTTCATGAAATTATTGTTTTTCGCTAAATTACCATGGAAAAGCTATAAACAGAGTGCTGTCATCATTCAAAAAAAAATAAAAAATCAAAATGTCAACTGGTGGCGCCATCTATTGACAATGTATAATAATGAAAAAAGTAAAAACTCTTTCTTATCACTCATTATTTCCATAATAATTATTCTTTGTCCCATACTTTAGGTAACTTTTAAACAATTCGAAGTATTTTTTATAGTTATCAAAATAATTGTTTTACGCAAAATTACCGTTAAAAATGTTTAATATCTTAACTAGTGCTGCCATCTATCAACATTGTATAATATTAAAAATGAGTATTATAATGAAAATCTGTATCGTAATGAAGTTCATTATAATACAGATTTTAATCGTTTAATAGCGTATTATGAAATGTCAGTAGAAAAAGTAGATTTTGATATTTATAATTAAAAATCCTTTTTTTTTTAGAAAATGGATTTTTGATCATTTCTAAATCTAATCAAATTTCATTAATTAATGTGATTCATTAATTAATTTTATTAATGCCTTTTTTTGGAGACGTAGATGCTCATAGGTAAAATTTTGTACAGGGTGATCTATTATAAATGTAACCCCCTGCTAACTTTTTCATTTGACGTTTTTGACAGAAGTGTCAAATACAAAAGTTTCAAGAAATTGTCAAAAGTTTTTAACTAAGTCACTTTTAGGTATACAGGGTGCGTCAAAAAAGTGCAGCAGCGTGAAGTTATATTTTTTTAAATGGAACACCCCATATATTGTGCGCTTATTTGTTAGTCCCCTTTAACCTGTTTTCAACGATATAGGGTTTGAACTAGTTATGAACACAATCTAAAAAAACTACTCACTTTTCGTCGTAAATTTGATTGCGAATACAGCTAACATCAAGGTGATCTTGATTCATAACCCGCTTCTTATGTGAACGTTTTTTCTTTGGTGAATTTAACGCTAAATCATCCCTAACTTTTTGAGAGATTTTACATTGAATTTTACTCACAGTGGTTATACCAATATTCAGTGCAGCTGCAACACGCTGGAAAAATATTCCCAATTGAAGCCCCAGAAGATGTATATTTGATAGTATCAATATACTTCACCTCTCTAACGCTATTTAATGGCAAAAAAGTGCCCCCATTATCTCGTTCCTGTTCAAAGAAACTAATTAGAGACGCAACGAGTTTCTGACTCTGACTATTCAATGACTTTGGCATTTTAAAGATACACAAATAGAAATAATTTCAAACTATTAAAATCAGTAACCGCAGATTTGCAGCAATATTTGGCAACATAACCCATGAGTGCCAACCTAAATGTCATTTTATCGGCCGATTCGGTTAAATGCCAACAGTGTTCTGTCTTTTTTTAACTAAGGTTAAATAAAAAGGAGAATGAGCTCTCAGCTTGAAACGAATTTTAATTTTTTACAAACTGCAATTGGCAATAATTTCGATGTCATTGATTACGTGCATACACTATATAATTTCACTATACCAAGTACTAAATAACGTAGTTCCAAGTATAAGTGTATGTATGTCCGAGTACCAGTCCATTTCCCAGTGTGAGTATTCCTCCGCCAAATTACTTTGCTCAACGGTCCGGCATTATTTCAAACATGACTATTAGACCCTGAGATAGGGCCTGTTTATTGGAGTAATTTTTTTTTGTCTGGCATTTTGAGGGATGAATGTGGCTAGTTAGCTGATTAGGAATATAAATGGTTTCAATGCCTGCCTCCTGTTCGAAATGTCCACAGAATGTTTCGCCGGAAAACTCGACTTCGAACTGTGATTACTGTCTGGCGATTTTTCAGCGTTATTTTCACAAAAAACCTCCCATTCTCTCGATTACCAGACAAAAAGTAAACGCAGAAAGTTCTTTTCTTTTCTCTTGGAAGTTGACACTCATCCCCACTTTTTCAGCTATTGAAAAGCATCTGGTATTTTTTATGTGTGAATTATTCATCAATGTCAATCTTTTATTAAAAAAAAATTCTTCATGTAAATCAATTTTTTTCTTCTGCAAATTTTCGAACCGGAGGCAGGCAATAAAATCATCCATATTCTCATCAGCTTAGTAGCCACATTCAGCCCTCAAAATGCCAGACAAAAAAAAATGACTCCACTAAACAGCCCCTATCTCACAGTCTACATATATACCCATCAAGCGTACATTAGTATTCCGATTTCCGAATATACCACCGACGCCGACGGTAGGTGTAATTCCGCCGCAGCCTATGTAGAATGCTAACACACCCTTCTCGAGCGTGATAGGACATTTCCTTGCGAGTGCGCCGCATATCCGTAAAAAAAAAAAAACACCCTATTTAGGCATGCCGATGTATGATGTACGCACCTGTATCCGCAACCACCTCAAGCTTCAAAGAGGTAGAAGGATCTCTAAGAACTTATGATGGTTCGAAGAAATACCCAGGCGAAAAATGATTCAGAGATTTCGCAAATTTCGTTAATCTACTAAGATGGAATGAGATACAAACATAATTATATTTGCGAAAAAATCATGAGCTCGAATATTTATTCAGGAAGAAAATGGCATCAACTTTTGGTTTACACTGGGCCAAGCACTCTATTAGCTGAATTTTAGTTCAACTACAGCGTGAAAAGTTGATCAATTTTTTACCTCAATTTTCCTTAACTATGCAAGGGCGTAGATATGGGGGGGGGGTAGAGGGGGTAATTACCTCCCCAC